ATGTGAAAGTTAGTAAATTGATACTATTGCTTTGAGTGAAACTGATAGCAAACCATAATGATTAATATCATCACACCTAATTCTTAAACACCATTAAAGCTGTTTCCTTTGTGAGATTAAAAGAACATGTGCAAATTTACCATAAATTCCTCTCATTCAGCTACAGTCCCACAAAAGGGTTGGTTTGCCGTAATCAGGACCAGAGTAATGGCAGCTGCAGAGATTACAAAGTACGCTTCGGATGCTCCTGTTCCTAGGCGACCTAAAGCCAGTGAAGACAAGGCAGGAGGGTCCAAGGAAACAACCAAATCATGCCTGTCTATTTGGGTTAAAGCCAAGGCAATGGAAAAAATGGAAAATTGTGATTTGTCTACTATGGAGAATGAATAAAGGATAGAAACTAATCGTAAACCTTTTTTTTTCTGATATATTTTTTTCTAATTGATTTAAATTTCCAATTCCCAAATATAATGTTTATGCCTGTGACTTTTTTTTCTTGGTGTCTTTAAAAAATTTAAGGAGGTGATAGGTCTTTGTCTGTTTGTAAGTGGCAATGGAATAACTTTAATGATTAAAAAAAAAAATATGGAAAATAAAAGCAAATGAAAATAATTGATGTTATTTTCTTATTTGTCCAACATATTGTATATGATGTTTATCATGTGTTCTAAATAACAAAGACTAATGCACAATTCAATTACAGTACCTTGAATTCTATTTCACCTCAACTTAACCTCTATAAAACTTTTAATTTGCCTAGTCTGTGTTCTTATAAGCAATTATAATACAGCGATCCGAAACTGTTCTGTTGATCAAGACTACAGTCTTTGATATTGAGTGAGGAACATAGATCTATGCTCACCCTAACAGACTGATGATATTTTTTGGATACTTTCTACATTTTCAAGTTACAGTTTGTACATAAAAAACAAAAGAAAAAACTAACAACCCCCTGAGCCATACCCCAATCCCCTACCCAACTCGCTGCACATACAGCCATGCCCACACAAAAACAAGTAAAAATTTAAAAAATTCTATACCTTTTACACTTTTTACTTTTTATTTTGCCAGTTGAAAACAAAAATGGCCAAATGAAGCTAAGTAACATATCTTTTATTTATCTTTATATACAGAATTAGATTCTGATTTTTGTGCAAAAAATTATAAGGTCATCTTTAGCTTTCTAATTGATACGTTCAAAATGTTTACATCATTTTATTTTTGCAAACTAAGATTTTACTGATTCTAGCGGTATAAAAGTTACAATAACCTGTGATTAGTTATCTTTGTACTGTATCTTTGTACTTTGTACTCTCATGTGGGGGTTTTAACAAAATGTTATATATTCTTAAAAATCACAATCAGGCAGAAGTTATTTTGTTTCCCAAAAGAAGTATTTTCTTAACACTAATTTAATTCCCACAAAGACATACAAAATTTTGTGGTGGCCTGCTGTATTATTCAACTGAATTTGATGTAGAATGTTCTATATTTCTTTGAGGAAAAGGTATTATTAAATATATATGATGCGTTTTCTTTACAGTTGGTTTCATCTGTTATGATCTAAATAGGCCTTAGATAAGAATTATATTTGCATAATGAAGTTATGAGTGTTTTCTCGGAATTCTCTGAATTGTTTTAAAACTATAAAAAGTAAAAACATAATTATTGGTAAATAAGCCACTGAGACTCAAAAATGCTTTTCCACTTCCATCTGAAAAAATTATGCAAGTTGATATAAGCTGAACTGTGCTAAACTCGGATAACAATAACAACCATTAAGTTGTTGGGGGTTTGATAAATACTGAAAGGGACATGTTTTTAGCTTTTGTTTAAACCCATATGCATAATATTTACAGGAGGTGAAGATGAAATTAGGAGTTTATTTACAAACAATGAATGAATGTTTCCAGTAGGTCAGGGACCAGGAATTATGATCCACTAGATTACAGGGGATAAAGCAGATTGATTAGGGTTGAAGTTTCAATAAAGGAGAAAACTGTGCAGACATGTTGCAGTTTTTACTGTTTGGGCTGCAGGGAACTACCAGGAAAAAAATTGCAAAAATAAAAAACGATAGGATCCAGGAGCCTTGGAGTCAATGAGAAGTTGACTGATCCGGGATTAAGGTTAGTGTTGGATGAGTGAACACTGGGTGGAGGGAGATCACTGTCAGGTTGTATTTATAATGGAGGGTGAGCAGGGTACGAAGGTGGATCCAGAGAAGCAGTCAACAAGAGTAACTTGATCCGAGAGGTTCTTGCGGAGGTTGGACAGCAACCAAGGGGCATGGGAGGATACTTCACCATGAAGGAACCTGGGAACAGGAACAGTAGAAAACAAACTAGCAAGGTTTCAAAGCCAGAGTATCATGCTTTAGTTACAGCTAGAAACTAGAATGCTGGGAAAGCAAGAGAAATACCACACATAGTTACCACTCTGGCAAAGAAGAACTGGGAATAGGCTCCTTAGGAAGGACCTGAAATGCAGAACACCTGTCACTACCAGCACCAGTGGTGGCTCCACCTGAGGGTACATTTCATAAGCAGCAAAAAAGAAAATGGAAACAAAGGCGGTGTCCGAAAATCCAACTTAACCCCTTGAGTTTGGACGGACCCCTATATAGAGCCTGATATAGTGGTTACGACATGTTATATGAGTGTCTGAATGTCTATTCAATCTAAAAGCAGTGGACTCAAAATTTCCCACAATGCACCTGTTATTAATGATAATTGTCATTGATGATATGTCAGTTTATTACATCCTACTTGCGTGTCAGAACTAATGTTTTCCCTAGTAGTTTATCTAATTAAGACACTTCCTCTGTCCGGATATACACGTATCATCTTCATTCTGTACGTGGCAAAGATATGGGAATGGAATGAGAGCGATGTCCTTCAGCTAAGAACAAAGTGTAATATTTTGATAAAGCTGGAGCCATGGATGTCCCCTCATCTGCAAAGGTGTATGATGTAATTATGTTATGATGTGGAATATTGGAGTTGTATAAAATGCCTCTTTAACTTTTAATCATGGCCATTTCACGAGAAGTGGTAAGTGGTTGGTAAGCAGCTGCCTTCTTTAACCCTAAGCAACTTCTCTGATCTGAATAAGATTACAATTTCTATCAACTCTGCTGTCATGTCTCATGGTTAATTTATACATATACGTTATGAAGTGTTATAGAGTTTGTCCCGAATTATCTCTTTTCAAGCAAAAAGAACCGGAGAGAGAAAGCTTCAAGCTGTAGACACATAGCTTTAATTTAACACACCTTGATACTGAATGTTTTTGCTCTCATGCTGTTTGGGATAGGCTTTGAAACTTGTGCAGATCTATTTTAATTATTTATTTACATGTGTTTCAGACAAATACGCCTATTTAAAATGTTTAAATTTTAATTAGCAAATTAAATAATGTATCTTTGAAACAAGGTCTATTCCTCAAAGATAGACAAGGAAAATCCATATTCACAAAACTGGTATCAGCCAGTCAGACCTAAAAAACAAAATTGTTTTAAATGGTTGCTAAGTCAATGTAAAATACAATTTTGTAACATTTACATACACTTGTTAGTGCAACATTCTAGAATTTTGAGTTGAAATCATACATTAAGATTTTTTTTTAGCAAACGCACATCTGTACTAACCAGATATGTATGACATTTAAAAACTCTAAGAGAGACTTTTATGTTTATGTATCTGGAACAAAATGAAGCCTATTTTATTCCTGATATCTAGAATGTAAAATTGATATTGCAACAGATATACAGTATGTGTTTGGCATTACTTCTTTGGAGTCACAGCCAGAATGTTCCCTTTCTGCTCAAATATAGACGAATAAATTACCTTTGTGTTTAGATATTATCTGTGATTTAGACTTTGAGGAACAATGGTGAAATGGAGATTGCTCTAACCCTACAAATGTTTCCTCCACATATGTCATCTATTGAGCCACAGGTGAAACTGAAGGGCTTTTACATACCACAACAAGGGTCAGCAATCCTGCTAAACTGGACAGAGAACAACAAGTACAAAGCAGCAAAGTGAGATTTTTCATGGTGCCAGTAAAACTGTTGGGATTTTCCACTCGTCTTTTTATTCTGCATAGAAATAAAAGTCACAAGGATATAACGCAACATAGTGCCTAGCACCACATTTAAAGAAGTAAAGTGTGTTTTGTTTTGAACAATCAATGGAGCAATTTAGTAAATGATGTAGATAAAATAAAAGCAGCGTAATTGCAAGACAACTATTCCCTTTAATAGGGTTTAGTCTGCACTAGCTGATAGAAGCGTGATTATATCACCTTTAAGATAAAAGCCATTGCCTTTATGTTAATTATTTCAAGTTAGCAATGACTGAGCTAATTTGAGATTAATTTTGAATTTTCTTCTATTTACATTTAGTTTAGTTTTTTTTTTTTACATTTAAAGAATGACCTAAATTATGCTGTACATGTAAAGCTGCTCTTTTAAGTCTCCGCTTCTGGTCATCGTTGAGATTTGTGTGAACTGCTGAAGATAGATATAAAGTACCTTAGCTATTCAATTCAAATGGTATCAGCTTTTGCAGGGTCAACAACCAAATACAATGCAAGTCCCTTTAATGATATGCTAAAGAAGCATGTCAGCTATTTGAGTCAGTGTTATTGGAGCAGTGACATATCTAAAACCTGCAGCACAATGGTCTTCTAAGTTGTCTTACGGTAACTGTCACTCAGGGACACTGGACCCATAAGATAAATTGATCCTCGACAAACTTGTTTATCCCACAGGCTGTATCTGTGGGGTTAATGGTGCTGTTTTCTTCCTAGGTCCTCCATTTAACCTCTTAGAAAACTTTCCGTAAATAAATTCTAAGTGAGCAGCAAAGCAAGTTGGGGCTGTAATTCCTTTGAGTTTTTTGTATTTACAAGTATGCAAAAATGTGGTTAAGTGTTCTAGTTGCATATTTAACGGTAATTAGATGGAAGCAAGGGCGGAGAAGAGATGATATAAAACTGCAGAGAGCCTAACAGCTGAATTGTGCTGCTCTTAGTTATTTGTGTGTGGGTGTTTAACAGTCAGAAACTCCTTCGTCTGCTGCTATGAACAGATTGGTAACGTATAACTTTTTAAGCTGTATTTTGAAATGTGAAATCCAGATTCATAAATTTTACTTAACAAAAATTTAGATTTGACATTGTTTTTATTTTTTACTAGGTCAGTGTTTTAATTGTGGCTGGACTGATCTTTGGTAAGTTTGGCCTGAAATGACAATAACTATTTTTGTTTTGTTTTTAGGTTGAATAACAAAAACTATGTGTAGAATAACAAAAACAATGTTTTTTTTGTTTTTTTTACAGAATCATGGGCTCAGAGACCAGAAACAGGTATATTTTTCAACCTAAGTAGCAGTTTGTTGATGTGACAGTCCTTTTTGATGCATGTACTCCAATAATTATTTATGGCCACTGCAGATTTAAATTTAAGGAAATAAGTTTGTTTTTGATAGAATACAATATGATGTTTATCTCTCAAAGCATAGTAACTCACTGCTAAAGGAGTATAACTTTAGTCCATTTACTAATTTAGGTTCACCTACTATACATTGAAAGAAAAAAGAAAAACACTATCCATAGATTTCATTATTATAATCACTGAAAAGATCATTCTTATAATTGCTTGAAAAAACTTAAATGTTTCCACTTATATTTGTAACCATTTATATTCTGAGATTAACTCCAGACCTTTGAAATTGAAAGCCCCCCATGTCATCCCTCTAACTAAATCTCTATCAGATTCAAGTCCAGCTGGGGCCTTCTCCTATTATTACCTTTAACTAGAAGAAACATAAAAATGTTAAAGATTGCCTGAAGTATTAATCTGTCAGGCATAGTAATAATTAGGAGCTCTACTGTAGCCTTGCAAATGAAAGTATCTGTCATTATAGAAGCTTGAACGTTTGTGGTCCTTTTCTAAAGTGCAATTAAACTATTGTATTTTTCTGGAATATGCTTTTCTAAAAGTTTATACTAGCAACCTCTTTTAAACAGTATTTGAGAGGTTACCTAAAAAAAGTAACTCACTGTAATTAATAATTACTTCTTAAAAAAGTAACTGAGTTATTAACTCAGTTACTGCTCAATGAGAGTAACTTTTTACTTGCCAATGTAACTATGAACTCACTTTTATGTTATTGGAAATTAATATAAAACTAGGTCTAGTTATGGAATATAGGGTGTTTGTTATTAATTAACAAATTAAGCAATTAAAAGTTCTACATCCTTGTGAGCAAAACCTATTTTGATCTGTGTGGTTTACCAAGTGTTGTTCTTCCCAGGTTCAACTCTTTTTAATGTTCAATATAATATTTAAGAATCAAACAAAACAAAAATAAATGTGTTTTTTATTGAAAATTATTGTGTTGGATTGGTGAACACTAACTTTTCTCTTATTTTTGTCTCCAGTCTTGTCAGGTAAGATTTTATCAAAGGGGCATTTTTATTATTATTATCTTAAAAGCATTCAACTGATTTTTCCTTTGACCTATACTTTCTCTTCTCCTTTTTTAAACTCTATATAGGATTGCAATGTTATCCTGCCTTCAACCTTCGTAAGTAGATTTCCATTTTTGTTTTCTCAAGAATGCTATAGATTTATTATCTTTACAGACTGCATCTCTGTGTGTAAGGTCAAATCATGCTGTTAAGGACTTATTTTTCTAAACATATTTTATTTGAACTCCTTTTTGTTTAACAGAATGCTGGACCCAATGGTTTGACAGTGACAACCCCTCAAGTAATGGAGACAGAGAAAATCTTAACAGACTTCTCAGAAAGTATCCTGGAAAGATCTGCCCAAACCCAGTAGATATTCAAGCCAGAACTCTGTCTGGCCTGACTCCAGAGGAAGCAGGTGACATAATTAAAGTGTAAGTTTATCAAGCTTCATTTCCCCATTAAAGTTAAACATTTACAGTCAGAAAAAAAACCTTTCTTGGGAATTTCATATAGAGGCTCTTACGAGATAACTAGTTTAAATTACGTATTTTTGTGATACCTTTATGGCACATGTCCTGTACAATTGATGTAAAATGAGAACTATTCTGATAGAAAAATCAATATGATTACTAAAATATTATATGGTTTCACAAGTAAATTTGTGTTCACCATTAAACTAAATGTTATACAAAGTCAGAGAGATCTCAAAATTTCAAAGGAGTATATTGTACAAAGCCATTATTGAGTAGAATGATAGAAACAAATTGACAGAAAACACATTCACTAAATAAAAAATTTATAAAATATCTATACATTATTTCTGTTATTTACTAAGTGAGACATATAATATAGATTGATTTCACATAAAATGTTATTTTAGGTTTTTGTTTCTGGTGATTATGGGGATTTTTCCACTCACAGCCAATGGAAACGTGATTACAATAAATATGTACAAACATTTTAAAACAGAAATGTGGACCTTATCGAAAGCATTGTGCTACCTGGAAAAGGTTATTTTAAAGTTACTTTTAATCTGACAATCTTATAAGAAGGCGGGCCCTTATTAATTGGTTATGACTGTATTCGCTAGTGCACAGTCAAATTATTGATCAGAGATATAAAACATAAAGCACAATGATGTTTTCCTAAAATAGATAATAAGAACAGAAGTGGTCAGAAAGTTTTCCAAGAGGTTGGTGGATTTTTTTTTCATTCTTTCCAATTTAGTAACTCTAGCAGTACTATTTATTGAAAAACAAATCATAAAAACCTCACTGGGGATATTTTATTTCAGCTTTAATATATTTTGACATCTTCATTTAAACATATACAATAACATAAAAAGTATATATATATCCTTTGATCAGACCATATCTGTCATTTCATCAGCTTTAAATGGCCAGCAACAAATAAAAAATCAGGCATCACAATGCTTTTTTTCTGCAATGGAGTCTTACCTGATGTCTGCATAGATACCATAGCTGTACAGAAGTTTTCTATTACTTATAAGTTTTGCACCAACTAGTTCCAAGTCTTTCTGAAGCTCTAGGAGTTGCGTCTTCCAGGAAACTTGTCTAACTCTTCATATGCGTACTTTGGTTGGAAGCATGTCAGAAAAATCTAGTTAAAGCAAAATTATGTTTTAATGATGTCCTTTTCCCTTCTAGATTATAGTCCCAACAGTGCTCACTGGAACACTCAGAAATCTAGAAATAAGTCTGTTATCTGTACATCAGGGTGTTTCATCTATGAGCTTGTAAAGTTCTTGAGAGAGGTCTTTTGTAATTCATCATGAGATTTTGTGTGAAATTTTGGTGATTATAAATCTTCTTAGGCTGAAGATGATCAGTAAGGATTTAAGCAGTTTAATTAAACTTCCAACTTACTGGATTGCTTACTAAATGCATACAGATTTCTGTGATTTTCTTTACTTCATATGTGTTTTTGTTTTTCATTTTAAACACATTCATGTCTCAATTACTTATTCCCTATACCATTCCACTTTATTATTCTTTATAACTCAAGTGATGTCAATTTCCTTTCAGTATGTCTTCTCAAAATATTTTGCATTTACTATACCATGCAAGATGTTTCTCATGTATCTTGCTGTTTCCTGTACAGTACTTTGTTGTTGTGTAGGTGGTTTCCATACTCTATTATCTTTTTATTACTAACCTAAATACAGTAAAAAAAAATAGTGCTCATTTCAATTACATTTGTTAAATTATACTTTTTTTTCCAGGAGCGACACAAACACAGGATTCATATGTCGAAAGAAGGACCAACCTGACGGGAACTGTGAGGATTACAAGGTTCGCTTCAGCTGCCCCCCTCCTTACTGTGCTGAGACAGGTAACATACATCTAGCCAATGATTGTTCATGAAAATTAAATTTTTTTGTTCCTTACACTTTTACAAAAGGATGGGATGTTTATTCTTCTGTCTTTGTTCTCTGTAGTGTGCTGGACGAAGTGGTATGATAGAGATAACCCTTCTGGAAGTGGTGATTGGGAGACTCTGAGGTCCCTGCAAAATGAATACAAGGGAGAAATTTGCAATACCCCTCACTATATCGAGGCTGTTACCACTGACACTTTGACCCCAGCTATTTACACAGGAGAGAACTTTTATGCGTAAGTTGCCTTGAAAACGACATCTTGATACAGAAACAAGCACTACCACAACCAAACAGCAACTAAATAGCATTTATAATGCCTTATGAATCATTTAAATACTATTATATAGAGGCTTTTTTGTTTTTGTAGTCTGCATGATTCAAGCAATAAATTGGTACTGAGGGAAGACACAACACATGTAAGACATTAAAGCAGATTCCAACATAACAATTTTATATGTACATTTAAACAGAATTCTTTGAAATAATCATCAAAATATTTTTTAGGAAACATCTCTCAATCTATATTTGCCTTTTCAAATTATACAGAGGTTTGTTAACCTAGAGTCCAATTGTACACACCTGACTATTTTGAAAATAATTTGTTAACATTCCACACATATTGTAAAAAACTTGAAAAAAGTACTGATCTATGTTTTTCAAACATACCAAACCAGACAGTAAGCACTTCAGAGCAATAATATATTCTTCTCACTATCATTGTATTTACTGTTTTTCAGCTACAACCCAACAGTAGGTTTCGTTTGCCGCCAAGAGGACCAGAAAGATCGGACCTGCAAGGATTACAAAGTCCGGTTTGGATGTCCCTGTGATAACTGAGTCAAGACAACCAAAATGAGGATAAAAGCATTACTATTCTGGGGTAGTCATTTTTCTGGGTGTAGATCATGTCCTCTGTTGTTTACTTAGGTTGAATCTTGCTATCATTTAGTTGATTTCTCGGTTTTAATCATTCTAAGTAAGGTGTTTCTATTTAAGGTAATGCCTTTGCTATTTTTTTACTCTCTTAGGTTATTCTTGGTTTCAGTTCCTTTAGACTTTGGATTTACTCTATAATGGATCTGTGTTAGTTTTAAAAGCCGTAGCCATAAAGTCTAAAATCCTTTTTTTGTCTGTATGTTTCTGCCCAGTTTTCTTAGAATATAATAAAGAAAAGCTGCAATTTTATGAACTAACAAAGTACAGAAAAAAACTCACATTTTTGTGCGAACTGTGTCCACCGAGACTTAACAAACAAGTCTGTACGTCCACAATGTCCACTTCAAATTTAAAGCGACACATCGAGTCAAAGCATCAGAGTTATCTTGGGAAATATCTGCTACTGAATGAGGAAAGAAAGAAATAATTTTTGATACAAATCTTTTCAACAGAACCTTAATGTACCTGTATGTTTCTGAAGTTCTGTTCAATTTGTCTCAATAAAGGCTTCACTGCCATAGAGTATACCTTGACTGCATCTAGTGTTTTCGATTTCTTTTTAAATATTATGATCACACATTTAAAAGGTGAAATATGTGGTTCTTTTGTGTAGGATTGTGGCTTAATTTACAAAATGAGGTAGAGCTAGCTCATTTATAGGCTTGTGAACATAGTTCATGCTTTGTAAAGGTGAACTGTGAACATCTGCTACTGTAGGTCATTTTAATCTGTGTAAACTGAACTTTGAGCTTGTTCTTTTTAATTATGAACAAACACAAAATTGCTGAGAACCTTTAGACTCTCTCTCTCAAGGTTCCATTTTTAAAAGCATTTCTGTTAATTTTTCCTACCTTTTTACTTTTTAAGGACAATTGTATTATATCATGGTATGCCTTAATCATTAAAGAAGTGTTAATATTTAATAAAATCTTGATTTTATTTTGTTTGAAAATAACAATTAATTATGGTTGGTCTTCAGTTGTAAAATATCTTTAATTGCTGTAGAAGTTAAAAATCTTAGTATTTACCTATGTGCCAATACCTTTGAAGTATTTGTCAGTATTTAGTTTTAAACTCAGAGGGGGCGAAAGAAAACCTTAATGTTAAAAAAGCATCCTACTCTGAGTCCATTTCTATCTTACCAGGAAAATTCCAGATGAAGTACGAAATCCAATGTGTCTTTAATAGGCCTACATTATGCTACATGCACATATACATATTAAAACCAGCGGTCTAAACTGATTTAATTCTCAAAAGTAACAAACAGTGTTTTAACACAAATGTGAAATCATGAATAAGAATCCAGCTAATTAGAATTTCCTCAGCATGTTGACCCTAACAAGCACATCTACAATATAAGCAGCATAATTGGAGTTGTCTTTTCTTCCCCAGCTAAATTTATTCCCATTTAGAGCGTAACATGGTTTGCCTTCATAGTAGAGTTAGTATAATAACCTTCCTCTCTGCTCTCCAGCTTAAATAACACCACTACCATGGCTCCAGCAAAATTGCCCCTGGCATGAGGCAACACTCACATATAAGCTCGCAAACCCAGAATGTACCAACACGATTTCACACAAGTGAACATAAACAGCAAGGAGGGAGACGGAAAATACAAGATGATTCCTGCAACCTGAGCAGCTTCAACATTTCCTCAGGAGATGAGTTGTAGCGATAGGTACCTAGCAGAAAGTCTGTGGTGCATTGCACAGAATGTGAAATGAGCAGGGACAACTTTTCCACGTAATGCTCTCGGAGAAGCTTGTGTTCTTTGGGTAGCTTGCCAGACTTGCATTGCATCAACTGTTCTGCATTTGGTGCCATTTAGCTTTCAGTATTCGTGACTGTCTTCCAGTGAGACTTTGCAGAACAAAGGAAATATACAGAGACAGTCAAGAGGGAGGAAGAGTGGATGCAATCTGCTGGTAAACCCCCACACCCACCTCCAAAAACACACTCACACACAAGCACTCAAACCTGCATCAATCTCTATGATAAAACTGAAGAGGCAGATTCTTGCAGTGGTAGTGAAATAAAATATAATGTAAAAAGTGAAGAGCAACAGAAGTGTCGAACCTTCAGAGCATTACGGCATTCTATTCTCTTCTATTAATCTCCCACTATTCCAAGTCTGTGAAGGCCTATTTATAGACCAGGACATGATTAAGTGGTTTAGCCCTGCGCCACAAAGGGAACCAAGCTCATTTTCCCTTTCACGTCTTCTATCTCAGTTACTTTTCTCTACTCCTATCCCTTCTCTCTTTCTATTCCTGTGTGACTTTAAGTTATTTTTCAACTTTTTTCTTTATCCTAATGTATTTATAAGCATAAACTACATTTCATTGCTCATCCAAGCTTCCTTTTTGGATGTCATTGAACGTTTGTATCAGGGGATAGCGATAAGTCCTTAAAAATCTATTTTCCCTATTAGGCAAAAGACAAAGGGATTAACAGTGCTAATTGTGATTAGGATATGCAGAATGAGTGACAACCTTGACTTAGCAAGATGGAGCTCCCTTCCACCAAGTTTCATCACTCCGTCAAGCTGGATGCAGACTGAAAGGTGCCCAATGAGTTGGGTACAGAGTAGGAGAATATCCGCAGTGGGAAACCTGCTTGAAAGGTGTCCTTGAGTGGAAGTAGAGCACAGCACAGGATAAATTGTTAAGCTCATTTTAATGTGCAAAGACATGATTAATGGAGGAGTGGATATAAGAGGAGAAAAAGGGAGAGAAAAGAGGAGTGACCTCAGCTAGCTTAAGACTGTCCTCGTTCCTTTAACTTTTTTTTCCTACTCAAACTAGTGATGGCATGCATGAAAGCAGCCCTCTGCCTTACGTCTTAATGCTCAGACTTTGTTGGCTGATCAACATCCTCTTTTGTTTTTGTTTTTTTGTTGTTTTTTTGTAGATTCCTATGTAAAAAAAAAAAGAAAGAAAATCTGCAGGACTGATCTGGCAAAAGGCTTCAATGTTAATGCTGAGGACATTCTATTGCAACTAGCTTTCTATTGAAACTGCTTCAAGGACTTGTATGATAATGGCTAGAAAATATTTGAAGTGTGAATCGATATTTTCAAAGAAGCTTGTGTTGTTTTAAGCGCGGAGTGGAATGCTCTAAATTAACCCTGGTTCTCAGGAACTCAGACTTCCACTTTAGACTATCCTCATAAACATTTTCTTCTGACTTGATGTATAAGTGCATAGAGATACAGGGTAAGTCTTTAAAAGCTTGGCCACTGTCCAACAGAAAAAAACACTCTAATTACAAATTCCCTGTAAAGTTGTCATATTTCATTGGCAAAAAAAAAAAATGTAACCCATCAGCCATTTTTCCTCTACTTGTTAATGATCATTTAAAGAACTGCATACAGGTTATTTTCAACCACATAACTATCATACTACTTAAACATTTATTATCAGTCTAAAACATTTGGTGCACCTTCTTGGCAGCTGATAAAAACCCCTCTGCAGCAGCAGCCAGTACATATTCCTTGAGCTATTTTTTGATAAATCCCTCAGTTGTTATTTTTGATGATTCCTTAATCCATGCGTCAAACAAATTTTTAATCTAAATAACCATTTATTGTATTTATGATTTATAATTGGATTTACGGTGGATTAAATGTAAAACAAATGCCTTTCCCTTATAATTCAGGAGTGAAAAACCAACATTAAATCTCTCTTACCAAGGCAATAAGAGCCTAAAAAGCTATTAGAGCATGTCTCCTGAGACATGAAAAGGGCATCATGCCTTTACCTTAACGGAAGGTGAGAACAGTACCAGGGTATTTTCGCTCCAACAACTTATATTAGTTGTGCCAGCTTCTGCCTTTTAGCTGCTCCTCTGCTTTAGCTGTTGGGCACATTTTGTTTCTTGTCACACTAGCTGATCCCTCGATTAAAAACATTGAATGCTGAGAGGGTGTTATCCCTGTTCAGTGTTTTTGATCCTCTGTATCGGGGTGACTGCTGGCCCCTCTCATCCCTAGCTGAAACAGTTGATCCAAGGATCTTTGTGGAAATGATTGCGCAAGTGCAATGGGTGCTTAAACATGCCAAGTAGGATTGCCTGCCTAAAACCTCATGGGGAAAAAAATGAAGGGGCACATACCATATGATGCCACTATTTAATTTTTTTGTCTAATACTCTATGGAGAAAGTTCAATACAGCTTATAAATGTAGCCACAGTTAGCAATAAACATGAGGTCCAAATTCTATATAGTTCTAAGGAAATTCATTTTTGATCAGATTTAACTTCGAACATGTAATTAACAAATTCATTAATTGCAAAACTAATGAGTTTTCAGCGATGCCACAAGTACTCAC